TCCCAGCACCTCAGTGGCGCATTACCACCATGGCTGACTCCTGTTTTAAGGGTTCTGATGCCCTTTTGTGACCTCCTAGGGCACCAGGTACAAAGGGGGTACAAAGACATACATGCACACAGAACACTCACACACATAAAATTAATAAATCTTCTAAAAAGGAAATTTTCAAGAAATTATGGAAGGACCTCCCAGTTTTATTTTGTTTGTTTGTTTTTGAGACAGGGTCTTACCATATAGGGCTGGCTGACCTAGAACTGCCTATGTTGACCAGGCTGTTCTCGAATTCACTGGCTAATAATGTTATTCTAATGTACATTTTATCCTTCAGTCCTTAAAGTTCCTGGCCCACCAGTAGACCATAAGGAATCAGAGGGCAGAGACCGAGAGTAGCACATCATCCTGGATTCTGCTCTGTGAACATGGGCAGGACATGATTTTCCTGAACCAGACAATGCTACCTCTGATGGAAACGGTAAAGGGAAATCCTGTGCCGTTCCTGGTTCACTCTTGGAGAAAGCACCCTTGCCGAAGCCACAGGGTTTGGAACTGGGCAACCTGGGAAGACATCTGTATTTAACTCCACAGTCACTCATCGCCTGACTTACAAAATGAACACACTTAATTTTTTCTAATAATATCATATCTGATATTCTGAAGCCAATAAAATGAATATCTGTTCAAAATGTCCCCTGGATGTCCAGTTATTTGGGGAGGAGAAAGAAAAAGAAGCCATCTCATTTTCCAATCCACCAATGTGGCCCTGGGTATTTACAGCTTATCTTTTACTTTTTCTTCTTGCCTAGGCCTGTGCTGCTGACCACTTCTTTGGGGTACACCTCCGGGGACCTTAGATCCATCCACCTCATCCATAGTCCTAAGCCTCTTCCTTGGACAGCTCTTCAACTTGTTTGCATGAGCTTCCTGTCACTCTCCTCACTCTGATAGGAACTGTAATGCATCCACCTTCTAAAGACATTGGCAGCAGCGATGCCTCCATCTGCCAGGTGCTTGCCCATCTGTTTTGGCTTTTCAGCTGTGTCCCTGCTATGTTTTAACTTCCGAATTCCCAATGGTGCCTTCAGAATCACAGCAAGTAGTTTATTTGCTACAGGATAAACAGGAGATCATTTGGGTGGCTAATGTGCAAGCTGCAAGTCCTCAGGAGCTGCAGTTGGGGGGTGTGGGTTACACTGTAGTCTCAAGGACAGTCCTATAGAACGCAGGGGTATTTGTCCCCAGCCCTCCCGAGACAGCTGGTACAGCCCTAGTGGTTAACTACATGCAGGTGGGGAGGTGTAAATGGCATTAAGCAGTGTGGCTTCCAAGGGACAAAGACCTGGCAGTCTGCTAGCATAGCATGCCTACAGCTAAGCACAGTGCATCTGTCTGTAGAACTGTTATTGCTTCTCCACACCGCTGTCTCAGAAGACACATTCCCAGCTCACAGCTCAAGTGTGGGTCCCCTACTGGAATGAGTGATCTCCTCTGTAAATCTGTCCCTTGCATATGTAATTTACAATAATGGGTTTCTAGACCTCGAATGCTGGGAACCACAGCAAAAATAAGCTAGGGCATACATGGAGGGGGCACTTGGACATTTCCTAAGGCTGTCCTGAAGCAGGTAGTTGGGCTATGTCCTCTCTAGCCTGTCATGTCAGAGGAAATGAATTACACTCTTCAGGACTCTATGGGCACACAGACTGATGCCTGGAATTCTCTATATCACCCCTTTATTGCGTTACCAACGCTTTCCAAAGAACTGTGGTCATTCTTGTTGCGGGGGAGGCCTGGGAAGAAAGAGGAGGAATGTGTGACGGTAGAAGCCCCCTCTCTGCTGCTGCCCCCACCCCAGCCTAGTTCCACCCGATATGTATATCTAGACACATGTGCACAGCTCTGAAGAACACATGTGTGTGCTCACATGGACGGGGGCAGAATGCTCATGGAAACGGGCTGAAGGAACACCCTGGTGACAATACAAAGGAAGGAGGGTGAGGACAACCACAGTGTTACTCTGAGGTGCCACGTGTGACACCATGGAAAATACGGAAAACAATGTAATGCTTCCCCTTAGTGAGATTTGGTAATAGTTTTTCAAATGTAACCAGACAGAAGCTACCACCAGCATTAAGAACATTCTAGCCACCCTTCCCTGAAAAGGAACAGCTGGTTCTGAAGGCTGACTCCAAAGGCTTCAGGGTTTTCAAAAGCCAACAGGAGTTGTAAAACCATCAGTTTTTAAAAGTAAACTAAATCCTCGGGATTGATTATTACAGCACAAAGCAGCGAGGAAGTTCACTTTATTTTCTATGTTTCATTTTTTTTAAGAGTTCAACAATATTTGCACAATTGCAGCATATCTAAATCTTACTAAAATGGACTCATGCCAAAAGACTAGAAATACCATATTTGAGTGTTTGCTGAATGTTCTTATGGTTAACAAGGGAAAAAAAAATCCCACTGCAAGCATCATTAAGTACAAATATAGTGTTTAAAATGGATGCCAAGTCACGTCTCCCATAGAGAGGGTCAATTTACTTTTTCAGCCATGATTGAAGATGCAGTATTTAACGCATGCGTTAAAACTTGCCAAGAGTTACCTGAAAGGTCAGGCAATAAAGGCTGGGTTGATTAAAAGATAATAATCCCTAATAAAATGAAGTCATGAAATATGGTGTGGCTGTGGCTCACGCTGGGATCCCTCTTCCCTGTGCCTGTGTCCTGGCTTCACAGCCTCTTCGTCCCTGGCTTTTCATGCCTCAGCACCCCATCCCCATCGCACCCCCACTGAGCCAAGGCTTTGCCTGAGAGCCGAACACTGGCTCTTCTTCCATAGAGCCTGATCAGGAGAGCTTTTCCCTGCAGTGCACAGGGATGAGGGAGGCCAGAGAGCAGTGCAGGTTACCTAGGACAGATCCCACACCCTGGGACATGCAGCCTTGTGCGGATGAGTCACAGTCCCTGCACACCTTAGCTCTGCAGAGTTCTGTCATTTCACAAACTAGTTGGCAATTCGTAAGCTGGCTGTGACGCTAACCAGGAATTCCCCTCATCTATCACAGGACAGCAGCTGCCATCATCGTCATCATCATCATTATTTGAGATAGAGTCTCACTACAGAGCACTGCCTGTACCGGAACTCGCTATGTAGACCAGGCTGGCCTGCCTCTGCCTCCTAAGTGTCAGAACTAGAAGCGAGCACCCCGAGGGCCATAGGGACGGAGGAATATTTTTTAACAGGACTAAAAATCGGACTATTTCCTCCATTCAAACTCTGAAGAAAAATGGATGAGGAGCAGGCTGGGGCTCAAGGAGGCTTTGCAGGTAGTGGGAGCTAGGCACATACCAATCCACTTCCAGAGTTAATCAGTTATACGAATGTGGACAGTTTAACTAGTTCCCTTAACTTTGTTCCCTGCTCTGCAAGATGAAACTAAGAAAGCCCACCTCACAGGGTTTGAAAGGCTTTAAAAGATACCATGCAAGTGACTCAAAGCAGCCAACGTCTGATGTCAAAACACTTGGCAAAAATCCTAAGATTTCATGCTTGCAAGTGGGGTCAGGGAGTGATTAAGTCTATGGGGGTCTCAGAGGTCTCAGGGAGATGGCTCAGTGGTTAAGAGCACTGGCTGCTCTGATGGAGGACCCAGGTTCAATTCCCAGCACCCACACGGCAGCTCACAACTCCCTGTAACTCCAGTTCCAGGGGATCTGAAACCCTCATGCCAATGTACTAAGATAAAATTTAAAAAGGGGGGGGGGCTAGCAGGTTTTGGTTCCATCTTGCCCCCACTGTTGTAACTGAAGGCATCTGATTAGTAACAAATGTTTCTGACTCAGTTTCTCTAGGATTAAAGTAGAATTTTATTACAAGTAGTAGCTACCTGATAGTTGCTGCTTTTATCTCACTGGGAGTAAAACCTCAATCAATGATGAGGTGTATTAAAGGAAACAATAGCACAGTGTGTGCTTTATTTTATTTTTTAAGTAAGAAGACTGCATGCATCTATGAATTCTGGGGCAGACTCAAGCTGTGATGCAAAGGGTGGGGCTAAAAGGTAATATGAAAGAAAAACTCAAAGAGGGGCTATAAACCACCCACCAGGGAGTCATTTCTTTTGCAATGTGCATTCCATTTCTTCTTTCTCATGCTTTTTAATTCCTTCCACATTTCCTGCCATAATTATCAAATGTTTAGTTTCTGACCTCACTTTTCTGGAGACTGGAGCTCGGGGAATTTAGAATTGTTTATTTTCTGTCCATAAACCTTTGAGTTAATGGAGGGGCTTGTGAGCGTGGGATTTGTTGGTTTGTTTGTAGTGTCTCAGGAGGTCACTGGAGTTGAAAAGAAAACATTACCAGAGAGAAAGAAAGGAAGAAAAGAAAGAAAAAAGAAAGGCAGGGCTGCTACATGCTTTAACTGGAAATCAGAGGCCCCAAAAGGGCAGAGCCGCAGATGAAGGAAAAATATGAACTGTAAAAGGCTGTTATGGAACCCAGATAATAACAAAAAACAAAACAAAACAAAACAAAAACCCAGCACATTTTACAAAGAAGAAAACACATTTTGCGGAATCATAATCCACTCTAAAAGAGAAAGAAATTTTCATTTTGCTATTTAAACAATCTTTTCAATCTCCCCCACCAAGGAAAGACTTTGAAAGGAAAAGTCCGCAACTATTCGTAGTTTCCTCTGAAGTGAACAGAATTCCAGGCGTCTGTTCGAACTCTGCTGCTGCTCTGGCCGCCACCTCTGCTCCTATCCGCCCAGTCTGTCCCCCTCTCCCCAGCCTCTCTCCATATTAGGCGTGGTGGGGCTCCAGTTTATAGACTAAACTACTTCAGAATTGAGACTTAAGTTTGTTTAGTAGAATTTCTGCTCGGAACACCCCAGAGTCTATCGCAAGCGTGGGGACCCCCAATCCCACCCTCAGAAAGCATCCTGGGGCGCACACCCGGCCGCCCGGGCGCACAAACCCCAGAGACCGGTCACCTACCTCGCCGTGGACCAGGGCGACGGCCACCAGTGCTAGCGCTAGCCAGTGTTTCCACATCTGCGGAACAGAGAAGAGGGTGAGACTGAAGGCTCTGGGCCCCACGCGGACCCTGGAAACTTCCTCGAGTCCCGCAGACTCGTCCCCTCCTCCCAGCACCGCCGGAGCCCGCGGCCACCCAGCCTCCTCGCTATGCTCACGGTGCTCGGGTCCCGGGCTTCGGAGGACGTGGGGTAGAGCAGAGAGCTGAAATCGAAGATGGGATCGTTGCTGGTCGCCGGGCTCCGAGGAAGTCCGACCTAGTCTCGCCGCCCCTTAAGACCCTTCCTTCCCCGCCCGCCGGGCCCCCAGCTCCTCCCCATTCTCCTCCCCTTCTGCTGCGCAGCCCCCGCGGCTCCCCCTGCGCTCCCTCCTCCCGGCCCCCGCCCGGAGCCCAAGAGCTTCCAAGCACCGCAGGCATTGCTGTCCTCTCCCGGACCCCCATCAAGAATCTTCAGGCATCTCAAGAGAAGGCACAGGATATCCCTGTCTCGGGGGACCCTGCAACAAAGGCGGGGGAAACCGCGGAAAACCCATCCGCGGGAGGGGCGCTGGCCTGCGGCAGTCCGGGTGACAGCAGGAACTAACAGCAGGCTGCAAAGCCCGCTAGAGGGGCAGCACAGGGGCGCCCATACTGGCCTGGGACTTGAGCCTGAGCATCCCAGAGCCACCCCTCATCTCTAAAAGGGACAGAGAGAGCAGAGGATATGAGGGTGTTACTACAACCCAAGTAGAAGGTAGTGGGTACTGGAGTCGGAGAAGTGCTGGTGAACACAAAGCTACTTTTGCATTCAACTGCAGAGAGGACATAACTGCCCTGCTCTGCTAAAAGCCTGAGTGCCTTGTTTTTCTATCCTTTCCTCTAGTCAAGGAACGTGGCCCCCTCTCCGCCATCCAAACCTCACGAATGTTCCTGTTATAATGCACCCTTGCCATTTCCGGTAATTTCCATATGTATGCATTCCATAAGCGGTCTTCAAAGGTGTGCCGCCTCTATAAGGGTGCTGAGCCCCTTTGTTAAGAATCTCTTTCCTGCCCTGACCAGAAATAAATCCACGTGTGACGCTTCAGACCCAACATCCGGATGAGCCCCAATTTCCACCAGCTCAGGGCTTCCACTCATTACTTCTTTCAAGAGTTAGCCTCCAAACCCTCTGTGCTTTTCCCATAGCAGGGGCTAGCACCATAACCTAGGTTTCCCGCAGAGATCTCCTCTGCAGCAGCCCTTCAGTCCTGCACACTTGTCTACTTCCCTATTACAGCCTCTCCTTTCTCGCTCAGAAATTCAAGAAGTCGCTTCTGGTAGCGGATTGACTCCTGACTCCGGGAATACTCATTCTTGTCTGCACTGAGAAAAACATTGACTCCGGGCATAGCCATTCTTGTCTGTACTAAAGAAAAAATTGCCATTTTCTTTCACTCTGGGGTTCAGACACTAAGGTTTCATGTCTTCATCCACGGAGAAATTTCATCCATACTCTTCTCCCACATCAAATCCAGACATTCCCCTTCCTTGTAAGCACTCCATTACTCTGTGTGCCTAACCTTATCTGTCTTGTCTTCACCCTCTTCACCATACACCCTACTGCTCACATGACACCAGGTTTTGTGGTGTCCTCTGAACTTGTCATAATTTGTCTTCTCCCAAGGCCTGCTGAATACCTACTGCTGAAGTTTTAGAAGGTTTCAAAATTATGCCTAAATTCCACCCTGAGAGAGTTGCAAGTGTTGCATGGATAGAAAGAAACCATGTGTAAACTGGGTTACCGGTCAAACTGGAATGTTGGCCATGGCTTTAGAGCTGGCTGAGCAATGGGTCTGCTAGTACTCAACTCCAGAATTGAACAGATGCCACCTGCACAGATAGAGTTGGAAAACATGCTGGGTAAACAGCTGCATGCAAAAGCAAAAATAAACAAAACCCAAAAAGGGTGTTGTGAAGTTATCTAAGAGATAATTGCCTAGATTAGATGGGCCTGTGGAGTCTGTGGATGTGCTATCTCAATTGACATTGATGTTGGAGGACCTAGCCAACTTGGGCAGTACCATTCTTTGGGCATGTGGTCCTGGACTGTAGAAGAAAGCTAACTTTGTATGAGCTTGCAAGCAAGGCAGCAAGCAGCATTCCTCCACAGTTTCTGCCTCAGGTTCCTGCTTGGGGTTCCTTCTGCAATGATGGACTGTGGCCTCTAAGATGAAATAAACTCTCTCTTAAGTTGCTTTTGGTCCAGGTGTTTTATTGCAGCAACATAAAGGAAAACAAAACGAGGGAAGAGTGACACATTCTTTGAAACACATCGGCAAGATACTGCATGCCTCCCAACTTGTTAGAAGGAGGTAACTAAGAAGTAGATGGCCCCCATCATCTGCCCTGCTGTCATCGTGCTAGGGTTGAAGAAGGGAGCCCTTCTGTCCTCTAATAATTAATGATGTTTTGTGCTCTTCAGAACTGGCAAAGCTCTTCCTCTAGTGAAATTCACTTTATTGATTTTAGAACCCAAAGTGAGTTTCACTACATTAGTTGCACCTTTCTCAATAACAGCTTTGGGTAGAAGGAAGTATTTAAGTTTAAAGCCAAATCAACCTGGCATTCTATCCTGGCATCGCACTTGCCAGCTGCTAACCTTTGCTGTCTCCCAATCTAGGCTCTAGCATCTGACAAAGGACAGGGATAATACCCTTCAGGGGCTTGTGAAATTTAAAGTGGTAGGTTATAAAAAGTGCCTGGCAGATAGATAGTAGGCTTCTATATATGGTGGCCATTATTACTTCATCGATCTGCCTTGCATCTAAATTGTCCCCAGTACTATGCGCCAGCTACACGATAGCATCCAACATACCATATTTTTAGTTAACTGTTACACTAAACTTGAAGGCATTTTGAAAATGACTTCTTCTATCTTCCAATAAGAGAACTGAAGATCAGAAAAATTCAGATATTTTCCCAAGGTTAAATAGCTTTGCAACTTGGCATTTTATTGTACACTATTATTCTTTGGTTACTATTTAGGATATAATTGTTCTTGATTCAGAGTATGAATATACAATCAACAAATAGAAGTAAAAATAACAGCAAAACAAACTATAAGAGGGAGTTGACAGTTGTGTTGGGGAGGGATAGATTTCATTGTGAGTGATAGATACTTAAGTGGCTTCTCAATAGAAGCCAATTTAAAAAAAGCATTGCAGTTAACTGGAATTTAGTGGCCTGGTTTTGTTGAGAAGTACCAGGATAGTGGCTGGATTTAGGCAGGTCTTCACCTAGGAGTCTGAACATGTCCCCAAGGACCTTTGTTTCTACCTTCAGTAGCCATTTCTTTCCTTGTTTTTACAGGGTGCTTCCTGAGAGCTGCAGTCTGTGTTCTCAGGGTAATAAGGGGAGGGAGTTAGTCTTCTTCTGGAGATGCCATAGAAGTCTTAAGACATGTTTTTAAAGTCCAAGTGGGGTTTCTTGTTCTTTTCTCCCTTCTTCTCTCTGTCTCTCTGTCTCTCTCTGTCTCTCTCTGTCTCTCTCTCTCTCTCTCTCTCTCTCTCTCTCTCTCTCTCTCTCTCTCTCTCTCTCTCTCTCTCTCTCGATAGACTTAAACTGGCATTCCCCTAACTGGCATTCCCCTGTTTCACCCTCCCCAGTGCTGGAATTACATGGGAACCACCAGCTCCAAATTGACTTTCTTGGTGTCTCCTTAACTTTCCTCTGTGACTGGAGGAATTGGCCGACTTAGACAGGCGAGGACCCTAACTTAGATCCATCTAAAGGCCCAGGCTGATGCTGGCAGGACATACAGGGAACAGACACTCCAAAGTGTCTCTGAGTCTACAGCTCACACCGTAAATTCTGCTCTTCAGAGTGGGTCATGGAACCTCCAGAAAGGACTGGGAATAAAATTCTAACGTCTCATTTTACTTTTACACATATAGAAACACAATGTGGCTTTGCAAATATAGAGATTAAATCTGGCTCCATATTCAGTCAGTAATAGACTGATGGACCGAGTGAGGTATGGATTTACTTATTGTATTGTGTGGTTTAAATTAGATTAAATGCCATTTCAGCTAAAACAAATGAGCAAGAAAAAAAAAAAAAAAAAACCAACCAACCAAAACAAAACAAAACAAAAACAGGACCTCTACTTCAAAGGTAAAGCTTTTCCTAGTTTCCTAGAAAAGCTTAGGAAAGAGGAGAGTTGACATAGTTCCTACTTCTGAAAGAGTTCATTGTCACACTAGCCTAGGGAAAATAACAGGAATCAGATCTGATAAGTAAATTAAAAATTCAAAAGTAACGATAAACCTATTTAAAAATGCAGAGATTAAAGTTTATTTAACTCAGTGTCGATGCACATTCATCATTATTAGTGAAACCCTGATCTTAAGTGTCCTGGGGGGGGGGTACTGGTTAAGTGCTTAGAATCAGCAGGACTTTTAGAACCTGGGTATCTGGACAAAGGATCATCATCTTCAGTGATGCTTAAAGACATGTGACAGTCAATACAACACTTGGAAAAATTTCCCTCCATTAAGCGTCTTACAAAGTACATATCTTAGCTGGACAGTGGTGGCCCACGAAAGCCTTTAATCCCAGCAGTTGGGAGGCAAAGGCAGGTGGACCTATGTGAGTTTGAAGTCTTCAAAGCTACACAGAGAAACCCTGTCTCAAAAAACAAACACCTATATTTGGGGGAAAGGTATCTTCCAGTTTTAAAGGGCTCAGACGGCAATTCAATAGTCTAGCTTGCCACACAAGCTGGTGGCCTGGGTTTGATTCCCAGAACCTATGTGAAAATAGTTAGGCACAGTGGTACAAGCCCATAATTCCTGGACTGACAAAGCAGACACAGGTGACTCTATAGGGCTCATCCTAGCTTACTTGAATTTCAGGTTAATGAGAGACCCTGTCTCAAAAAGCAAAGTGAACAGTGTTTGAAGAATTTCACCTGAGGTTGTTCTCTGGCTTCCACATGCACTCACATACACATACATGCACACTCACTTATACCTACATGCATGCATATATGCACAGTTGTGTAGTATAATTAATTAAATGGGGAACAATATGAGAAGATGAAATGAATTCTTTGCTCCTCACACACATCTGAGATAGTTGTTTTTTTCATGTCTTTGGGTTTTACAAAACAGATTCTATTTACCACTAATAGAAATATTCAGGAAAATGTTTTCATTGCTAATGAACATGTTACAACTTCTCAACTTTGTCATTGTTCCCGAAACAATGCC